CCTACGAACTCTAGCTTTAAAACCGGGAATGACTCGACAGATAAAGCCAGACACAAGCAACAGTTATAACAAGCATATGCAGTTCACAACAGATAAGGCAGATAAGGCAAAGCATAAACAATAATCATAACCCAACATAAACAATCCCCAACATAAAACCCATAGTCACATCCCCAAGGCACTCTTAATCACAACTCATCCATATCACAACACATAATGCACTTTGTTGGCGCCACAGGACCAATCGCATGCCCATACATGAGGGTCAGCGCATATAGCTCTGACACGGCCCCGCAGCACCTTGCCCCGTATCGCAACACGGGGGGGTCGATCGCAACCGACCGATGAACCGCAGCTCATCATAGTGTTTGATCGCAACCAAACAGTGGACCGCAGCCCAAGAGAATGTCATCTGACCGCAGCCAGGAAAGAGGACGAACCGCAGCTCGTATAGAAACGTTTGATCGCAACCAAACGGTGGACCGCAGCCCAAGAGAATGGCATCTGACCGCAGCCAGGAAAGAGGACGAACCGCAGCTCGTATAGAAACGTTTGATCGCAACCAAACGGTGGACCGCAGCCCAAGAGTATCAATCTGACCGCAGCCAGCTTCTGAACCGCAGCTCAGGATAACCAATCTGATCGCAACCGAATTGGGGTAACACGCACACGTAACACACAACAAGCACATGCAACCAACATTACACATTGGGAAGGGGGATAAAACGTATAACAAAACCTATGCGTGATCCATCACATACTAAGAATAGTCCTAAGGGGTTCATACCTCTTCCACCTAGGTCAACGGGATACCAATTCATCTAGCATGCAATATATTAGACTCATAAACCTACGAACGGTACCCGAAACATCAAACTAGACATAGACACGATAAACGGAGTCCGTTGGGACACCACGGGGAACGGGGGAACATCAAACGGGGAAGCCGGGGTCCCGAAAGGGGATAAATTCCAGCGGGTAGCCGGTGGGTGGGGGGCCACCCGCCGGCTGCCCGCCGGACAATACTGTTCCGGGCAGCGGGTCGCCGGCGGGCAGCTGCCCGCCCGCCGGCTGCCCGCTGCCGGAACAGTGTTTCTCGGCCGTGGGTAGGTGGCGGGTCCCCTACCCCCCCACCTACCCCCCACTGACTCTTTTCACATACTTTCGCCCCGGGGACCGTTGTGGAACCCGAAACCATGCTTAGACACTTTACAACGCAATTAACGACAACACGTAGACAATTATCGGATCGAATACGAGAAACGAACGACACATAACCTATCATGCTTTTCTAAACATAATCAACACCCAAACATGCGATTTCCCCACCCGATAATCCAAGAATAATATCATACGATACAACCTAGGGTTCTAATCACTTTTATATCAACAAGAATACGATTCGTCTTCTAATTGCAAGATTCGGGAAGAATAAGACATAAACATCAAGAACGCCATACAATTATCAAGAACGACATATAATCATCAAGAACTCCACATAATCATCAAGAACACCATAATTATCAAGAATCTCCCAATATCAAGATTATCAAGATTTCTCATGGAATCATTATACCAATCGCCAATAATAATCATCACCAATCAATAAAACACAATAATAAGGGGAAACCCTAAGGGGGGATCATAACTATAAAAATAGGTTTTGTTGAGACATGGGTTACCTCTTAGCCTTAATTAATTCCTTGGCTATGAAGGATCTTTCTTTAAGCTTTCTTGATTTCTTGATTTCTCCTAAGGGGATTCTTGGAACTCTTTGGGTGGTGAGAGATTATTGTGGTGGGGATTCTAGGTGCCTCCTAAGTTCCCTATTTATATATTTAAGACTCCTAGTTAGGGCCTGAATGGTATGGGTTTACTAATTCTATTCCTTATAGGGCTAGGGCTTGTTTTAGGGATAAGGGCCCATGGTCCATAGTGGACCATATTAATTAAAGAGGATCCTAATCGTAATCTGAATAGTAAAAGGCCTACTTCCTTTATTCCTAATAGGCTTAAGACTCTTATTCGGGCAAGGGTCCACGGTTCATGGCGGACCTTACTAATTAATTAAAGGTAAACCTAACATAATTAAATCATATTTAATTATTATTAACGGGATTAATTAAATAATTAATCCGGGATTGAAGGCCGTAACACGGGGTGTTACAGTGGTGTCATATATATAATAAAAAATGTGACATCATAATGCTTTAAGAATAGGATTTAAATAAAAAAAAAAAATCAAACATCACATTATTCTCTTTATTAAAGTGAAATTATTTTCAACAACAGAACTATAAAATCAAATATTATTAAAGAATTGCTTATTATGTTTCTTGAAGTTTTTAGTTGAGCCACCAAGATTCTTGAATAACAAATCAACATGTTATAAAGTTACTATTTTAATATTAAAATCTAACTCAATACAAAATTTGCCCAAATTTGAACTATTATGATATTAAATTATAACATTCCATTCATGAGATGCACTGCATAAAACTTAAATAATTTTATTGTTGATCATATCTTAAAAATAATTAAATCAAGCATTAATCTTTAAAGTTCATTGTGAATTAATCCTCAAAATTATACATTAATTTTATAATATTAAAAATTGTAAGTATAGATAATACAGTACATGCTAATACTAATAATAATAAAAAGAAAAAAGCATAAAGCATATAATAATAACATTATTAATAATGACTAATAGCTCATCTAGAATTATATTCTGTGTTATGCCATCACTGTAATTCTCTGAGATATAAATTTTCAGGTCAACAATTGCAAACTAAACCTATTGCATAACATGCATCTCGAAATGAGTCATAGTGGACACCATTTACAGTCCTGATATCTGTATAACTTGTAGGGCCACGTATTTTATTAACAAACACCTCAAATAAAAGATTTCTCCAGTCGCTGGCGGGACATAGAATATCCTTCCGATTGAGAACCCTTTTTTCCGTGGCTGCCATTTTCTAAGGTCTTTCTTCTAAACGAATCTTGTTCACCTCAAACCATTGCAAGAACATGCTCTGTGCTATAGTGGGTCTATTAACAATGTTCTCAACAGGATCATCATCTGCAAATACCACGCTCTGTTGATTAGTAAGGTGAAAGCTTAACATTTCCACTGAAGGAGCCCTAAGTTGTATATCAAAACCAAACAAACGCCAAATCGCTTCACATGGGGGTATGTACCTACAGTCATAGTACTATTTTCTTCTTGACCATGGACCCGAACCCAATAAAACCCGAACCCAATAAAATATTTTCTCCTAACCCTAAGACCATCTTTAACCCTCTAGGAATATTTTCAGTATATTCTTACAATAAATTTTTTCTATCTTCAACCCATTACGCCAAGTTTTATTTCTTTACTAAAATAATTTGTTTTTTTTTTCATAAATTAAGACTTTGTATTATAACGTTAAATATAATTATAATGCAAATATTATTTTATTCCAAAATAATAAATCATAGAACATCCATTACATTTAATTTTCAGATGGGGTGACCATGAAGATTAGTACCTCTTCAGTATTTGGTAATCTATTAAGTTTAACAAACAGTCAAATAATGTAATTAATTACACTTGCTAAAAACAGTTACACAATTGTTTGTTGCTGATTTTTTTTTTCTATAATCAATTAAGCATCGAATGAGATCATATGTTGTTTTATCTCTATATTATTTTTTTTTGCTCTATTTCTAACTTACTTGTGAATCCAGTAATTCTATTACTCCGATTCATAAAGAAAAATCCTTTATTTGTTTACAAAGTAATTTAACTTTATTGTCAAACTTAAATATTTTTTTAATATGAGTAACGGTTTTAAGAATATTAAATAATTCAACTCCACCTGTGTGGTGTCATATATATAATAAAAAATGTGACATCATAATGCTTTAAGAATATGATTTAAATAAAAAAATCAAACATCATATTATTCTATTTATTAAAGTGAAATTTTTTTCAACAACAGAACTATAAAATCAAATATTATTAAAGAATTGCTTATTATGTTTCTTGAAGTTTTTAGTTGAGCCACCAAGATTCTTGAATAACAAACCAACATGTTATAAAGTTAATATTTTAATATTAAAATCTAACTCAATACAAAATTTTTCCAAATTTGAACTATTATGATATTAAATTATAACATTCCATCATGAGATGCACTGCATAAAACTTTAATAATTTTATTGTTGATCATATCTTAAAAATAATTAAATCAAGCATTAATCCTTAAAGTTCATTGTGAATTAATCCTCAAAATTATACCTTAATTTTATAATATTAAAAATTATAAGTATAGATAATACAGTACATGCTAATACTAATAATAATAATAAAAAGAAAAAAGCTAATAATAATAACATTATTAATAATGACTAATAACTCATCTATAATTATAATATGTGTTATGCCATCACTGAAATTCTTTGAGATATAAATTTTCTGATCAACAATTGCAAACTAATAGGAAAAATAATCGAATATCAAACTAATTAACAATAAAATTTTTTTACACGTGGTTCAAACCAACCGTAACATATAAAATAATTTAAAAATTTTGTTACATATAAGGATTTAACAACATTCTGATATAACTACAAAATATATATAACTAAAATTATTAAATGTTATAAAAAATACACTATTAATATGCGCACATTTTTATCTTGCATAATGGTAATGTACATTATGTTATATATAATATAAAATAATGTATGTTTATTAAATTAAAAATATAGTACACATAACATATCTAATTACACCATTCTACATCCTAAATTTGTAAGTAAAAAAAAAAAAGACCAACAATTTAATAATATACATCAGGCCAATAATAGCCTCACTATACATACATGATATTTAAGCCCAAATGATATGACCCAATACCATAACCCAACCCAATATATTAGACCCGACCCAAATCTATGGGGTATAAAAACATAGTTCAGCCGCATAATTCACCATCCCTGCCCGACCCTTCGCCTCCTCCGCCTCCTCCGCCTCCTCCGCCTCTCTCTCTCCGGTCTGTAACCTTCTTCTCGCTTCTCACAAATTTGTCCTGTCAAAGCTGTAATCCATGGTTTCCGATGGCTATCCTTGTTTGTATCTGGATCAGAAGTCGTTTATCGACCGTGGTTAAGCTTTTATCCACAATATCGCGCTGTTCGAAGCTCTCAAATCCAACCCTAGACTATAGTAATTACATTTATGCTTACAAAATACCTGAATTTCTGACCTAAACTCGCAAATTTCATTATCCAAAACCTAACCCTATCTCGTTTCTGCTAGCCGATTATACTCAACTGCCGCTGATTTCGCGATGTTAGTTCACAAACCTAATTCCAGAATGCCTTAGTACGATAAGTAAACTCTTTTAATTTTATGTATTTATTTCGTAGAATACTTATATTTTGTGGGCATTACATTATATGTTTTCATTTTATGATGCATGTATGTTTGTAATTAGCTCAGTGTTCGAAAATGAATTATTGTCTTGAGTTTGGACAATTTAACTGCACAGTGTTTAATTTCATCTTTGAATGTGTGTTTTATTATTGCAGGTGGAAGAACAGAGAGGTCAACAACACTATAAGACAAAGTCCAGATTTAGATTTTAAAACATTGTAAGTTTAATTTATACATGCGTAAATTATCTTTGTTATATTTTTTTGATAATGCTTTGCCATTAGTACTTAAATTATCTTAGGTTTATATTTGTGCCTTAGGTTTATCTTCTATGGTAGTAATTCATATAAGAATTACAAATTGCTTCTGTGACAATCTTTGTACTTTAAAGAACAATTTTTTTTAAATGATGTAATACTTTTCTGATACTGTTTTTTAAAGACCAAGTTGGTTAATCACCTTTCTATTCTATACCGCCAGATATTGGTAGATTTAAAATAGTGTTTCATAGTTAATCATGTCTAGAAAATTTTGAAAATGCTTGTTTAAAAAAAAAAATCACCATTTCATTTATTTATAAAGAATCTCACCTTGGTTCAAGTTTATTTTTTTTCAAAATAAATTTAGAGTTAGTTTAACTTTGTTTTTTTTAGTTGAAATCTCAATTCTCCAGATTTGGTTCATTTTTTTTCTTCAAAATGAAAGCAATGTTTAGTTTTTTTTGTTCAAAATTTCAACTATTAAGATTTTGTTTCTTTCAACATGGAACAATAGGTATACTCTGGTTCCAGTATGTTTTTTTCAAGCTGGAATAATAGGTTTCAAAAAAAAAAGTTCACCTTCTTACAAAATACTAAAATTTAGACAGAAGTTGTGTTAGAACTATTTTCCAACTTAATGAACTACTTTGGTTTCTTATTTAATTCATTGTGATTTTTCTTTATTTTATAGTTACGTATGTTTTGAGTGTTCTTTACTTATGGTGTCTTATTTACTTCATTTTGATTTCTTTTTCTTTTTATGATTTCGTAGCTACAAATAATGTTTGCATTTATACTTATACTTGAAATTCCATATTTCCTTATGGTATCCTAAGTCTGTAGATTTACCAATTTGGAGAATACATATTCTGCATAGTTTTTGAATCATGCACACGTCTTACATGGCAAAGATCTTCCATTGATAGCTTGACTGCTAGGGCTTCATATCTATTTTATTTACTGTATAAATTTTCTATCAATGGTTTTGCTTAATAACACTACTCATCTAGAATTTCATTTATATGTTAGTTTGCATGCTTAATTCAAGAGTTCCTAATGTTCAGTCTAATACTCCAGAACTCAAACTATTCTGTCAGTTTTGCTATCTAAAACACTTTAAATATCTTCTGTTGTCCATTTCTAGGTGATCTAGAATTAATTCTGTAGAAGCTTTTGCTACTCATTTTTAAATGTGTCTGCATGCATTGCTTTTATTAGCAGATGATGTTTAAACATGCATTAGCTCAGTAAAATATTTTAAAAATTAAGCTTGAGAAACAAAGTATCCTCAAAAATAATTCTTGTTCCCTACTATTCTTTTCCCTTTTTTTTTTTAAAATGAAAATTCTTTTATAGTATGTTGCTATACAAATTTGATTATTTCTTAATTTCATGGTTTTCATACTTTTTATATTACATTAAATGTGCATATAGTAACCTAAATATGAAACAGTTTTGGGTATAGTTTGTTTGATACTTTGCTCCAGCTTAAACAATTCCTTGAGCAGCAATTGTTAGACTGTTTACTTCATCACCTATGTTCCCCACTTATTTTTCAAACACACAAAAAAATAGTAAATTATATGATTTGCAATAGGAATCAAAAAAAAAAAAAAAAAAAAAAAAACAGGCAGAAATAATCATATAACCAAATCAGATTGGATATGGTTTAAGAGCAGTTTCAAAAAATTACTTAATGTGTTACATCTTTTTCAAACTAAATGCTCCATGCATGCCCAAGATTTAGAATGTCTTCAATATTTGCTTGCTGAAACTGTCATTGCCAGTTGATTGTATTACAGTTTGCACTATTGTACCTGAATTTTTGTTTAGGTCAAAAGAAAACAAAAAATACCAATAAAGGAAAATCAGGAACAACTAAGATATGATGCCAGTAGATGCAAATAGAGAAATAGAGAAATTCAACAGTTTAATAAGCATTGCAATACATTACAACATCATCCTTCGGTATTGTTTCATGTATGTATGTACCCAATATAAAAGCAAAGAATTTATTTATGTTACTAACAAAACATGCAGGTCAGAATAGTTTGTATGAAAAAAATGGAAACATTAATCTTACCTGTTTGTTAGGGAAAAGACTATTCCTTGCTCTTGCTTGTTGTTCCTCCTTGCAATTCACAGATTCGTAAGTTTGGACCAATCGGACTCTTATTGCTCCTCTCCTCCTGTGGGGAGGGCTAACCTGAGAAGCAAAATGTATTCTGAGGGGCTTTTTACAGCAAAATTCTGAGAGTTAATTTGAAAGTTTTTCGTTTGTGGGGTTGAATATCTGATTACACCGCAATATTTATAGTAGATTTACAATCAGATATTGCGGTTTGTTCTATGCCCCTTCGAAAAAAAACAAAGTGTCTTGGAAGTATGAAGATCCAACAAAACGTTTCAGATTCCAAGAGCAGATTCATTATTCTTATGTTCAATTAAATTTAAAATAGATCTGATTTATTAGGATGTATTAGTAGTATTGCAGGTTTGCTTCTCTATGTATTTATGAATGTGTAATTAATTCAAATTTAAAATGGAACAAAAAACATAGATGGGAACCTCCTAGATAGCTGTAAAACAGTATAAACAGCATTTAGTTCTCTTGGATTGAGTCTACCTAGTAAAAGGGCAGCTTCTCTACCTAGAAATTGCATTAAATGAAATGTAAAAATCTGCTATTGTCAAAACTGTGTTGTTTTCATTGGGCGGGAAATAATGATTGGCAAAACTTCTTGCTTTATTATAGAGTTAGATATTGGGCATTATCTCAATCGCGCAATGCGCGTAAAAAAACTAGTATATATATATATATATATATATATATCAAATACTGTCAGTCAGCCCATTCATTCTGCCATTAGCCCATTTAATGTTTTGACCCAATCCAATAGGCAGAAGCCCAATACAAAACAAAAAACACACAAAATAGAGTATCCCAGACGACGTACGAACATTTCTCCACGGTCATCTGCGCCTCACGCCCTCCGGCCTCCATCCTCGGCGGCTGGCGACACTCTGGTCAGGCGGTCACTCCTCACGCCCTCCGCCCTGCCCTGTCTCTTCAGTCCTCACATCTTCATCCTCGCCCCTCAGTCACTCAGCCAGTAAGGTGTCAGCCCTCTGCGGCTCTTCTTCACATAGTCGCTATAACTCCAACTCTCAAGGTAAATTTTTTTTTTTTTTTTTGTTTGTTTGTTTTTTTTTTCATATTAAAATTAAAAGGAATTTCGTACATTATACGCTGCATTGCTAAGACTCTCGGATTTCATACATTAAATTTTTACATATTTCATACAATGGACTCTGTTGTTACTTGAATACTTGTTAGTATTTGAAAATTAATTCTGGAGTTCGGTACTTTGGCAGTGTGTTTGTATTGTGTGCAAACTTATGAAAAGCGAGCGCTTTTGCGCTTAAAGCGCAAAAGCGACGCGAGCGATCCGAAATCGCTTCGCCTTGGTGAGGCGCAGGTTCGTGACTAAGCGCGCGTCTTTTGCGCTGTTCGGCGGAAGCGGTGAAGTGGTGAAGCGCACAAAGGCGTTGCTTTGTCACGAAAAGCGCAAGTCAACGGTCAGTTTAAAAAAAAAAAAAAAAACCTAAGCTAATATCGCGAGTCGCGACTGGAGGAGAAGATTCGCAGAGAAAAAAACCCTTGCCGCTTCTTTCCTCTACGGCTCAACCCCTCTCTAAGGCTCTAAGCTGCTCTCCACCTCTTCCTTCTCGCCGACCACTGCCCTCGCCGACCACCGCCTTCGCGAGTCCTTTGTCCTGCTCGCCGTTCACGCTGCTGAGTGGTGACTGGTATCGCTGTTTAGTTTTTTTTTTTTTTTTTTTTTCCTCTTCCGTAAAGATGGAAGATACATATGTTATATTATTTATATGTGAGTTGAAGCCTTGATTTATGTGAGTTAGGCAGTAGGCAGTAGCTTGTTAGGACTTAGGAGTGTAGACAGTAGAGTGTTAGTGTCATAGTGTTATTGTGTTTTAGACTTTTATCTTACCACATTTAATAATTTATTTTTATTAAATGAATAAATGATAATATCTAACAAGATTAAGAGTTAATATAAGTTTATAAATTTTGAAAATTACAATTTACAGTTAATTAGTTGAGTATTTATCATTTTAGGACTTATTTTGGATGTTATTTTGCATAAATATTTGAAGTTTTTGACTATATATATGTATAATTTATATATATTTAAAGCGTCGCTTTTTGTGAAAAAGCGACGCTTCGCTTTGCGCTTTCGCTTTAAAGCAAAGCCCGGCCTTGTCGCTTTAGTGCGCTTTTCCGCTTTAAAAAGTTTGATTGTGTGTTTACTGTTTAGACTTGGCATTGGCAATTTGACATTTAGAAAATTAGTATCTTTGTATCTTTGGAGACTTTATTTTGGACTTGTGAGATTATTATATTTTATATTTAGACTTTTTTAAGTGTATTTTTCTATTTATTTTTTGATTTGGAATTATATAGTATTGCACATTACTACATTAGAATTTTTAACTATTAATTGTGGAATAACTTGTTCCTACCCTAAACCCACATTACCCTCTGTTCTCATAATATCATCACTTCATCCAAATTCCCAATCCTGGACAGCTGAAATCTCAGAATCTCTACCACGATGGTGAAGTCTAAAGCTCAATCAAAGAAGCAGCAAAAGCGCGGCGTTGATTTCAAAGTATTTCTTTCAATTTGCTCGCTCAGTTTAGAAGTTTGAGATAAAATTCAAGGTCAGTTGTTTATACGCAAATGCAACATTTTCTTTTGATTTTGATTTTGATTTTTCAGAAAATAAGAAGAAAAGTTGGTCAAAAATTGCCCCCGCCAAAGAACTCTACTAACACGGAAATCAAATCCAAAGGTAATATATATATATATATATATATATATATATATATTAAAGAGAAAGCCTATTATGTGTTTAGAAGTAGTATTTGCTGCCAAAAATGTTAAATTATGTTGAGCTCGTTGGACTAGCATAATAAGTGGCAATGGCTACTGAAGTAGTTGATGAAACTGTTATTGTGTGTCCCAACTCCATGAACAGCGATTGTTCTTCCCGAGCAGAGTGTAGCTTTTGAGAAGGCAGGTTTAGCTGTGAGTAAGAAAGGGTTAACCCTGAAGGAGCTTCTTCAGCAAACAAGTCATCACAATGCTAGAGTCCGTAAAGGTACTCCCATATGACATTTAACTTGTGAGGAGACTTCAACTTGAAAAACAATTGATCATAAGACTAATCTAAATGCATCTTGGATGAGAGTTTTTTGACCTCGTTTATGAGTTCAGTAGAAGTTTACATAATTATGTGTTTTCATCTCAGATGCATTGGTTGGAATCAAGGATATATTTCTTAAATACCCAGTTGAACTGAAGCTGCACAAACTTGCTGTTATAGAGAAACTGCGTGAACGGATTAGTGATGATGATAAGTTGGTTCGTGAAACACTATATCAACTCTTCAAGTCAGTGATTTTTCCTGGCTGTGTAGAGGTATTCTCGAATGTGCTTTTGTAGTTCCCTAGTTAATTCAGGAGTAGTATTCATTAATCACTGAACAGAGAGTGTGGTTGCTATGATTTAAGTGAATGCTGTGCACAGGAATGTATTCAATTTATTTTCATATAGTTTATCTCATTATATTTTGAATAAATCAACAACAGCTATACATTTTCTTCTCTTGTTCCAGGATGGCAAGGGGCCATTTATATCCTTGATAATGGTGTACATATTCAGCGCAATGACAAATTTAGCAATTGAAGTGCGATTAATGGCTTTCAAATTTCTTGACCTTGTCATCCAGAATTATCCATCTACATTTTCCATGTACGCAGAAAAGGTTGATGAACCTTCTCTTTAAGTGAATGGATTTGCTCATACATTTTTAATTGCTACTTGGCGAATTCGTTGATGCATTTCCTTGTCTACTGCATGTACAAGTATAGTTCAAATACATTAAGGTGCCTTACCTTCAATTTTAGTTTAGACTCGCAAACTATAGTCAATAAAGTAATCTTGCCTGATTTAGTTGTTGAAACATAATACATACATCTTTGTTTGTTTATGCTTTATTGTTCATTTTTGGGGACTCCTGTATCGGACTTACTGTTGATTTTCGGTTGTTACCAATACATAATGTTATTACACAGTCTTTTAGGGTTGCTTCGTTTTCTTGGTTCTTACTGATGATTGTGTTCAACCTTATATTCTTCTCCATATGTTTATTGTTCTCATCTTTCTGACCTTTTTTCTTTTCAATTGTAAATTTATAGATTCTCCAAAATTACGGAGATATTTTGCAGAAAAACAAATTTTTCCTGCAAGATAAGGGAAAGATAAAGACTGGTCTTTCTGGGTTGGTTCGTTGTTTATCATTGTTACCATTCAAAAATAGGAGTGCTGGTGACTTGTCAGATAAGAAGGTATGTGCTATGAACCCTTTCTAGTTTAATTATTACTCCATATTTTTTAACGTTTGGTACTAAAGTATTAATTTAATGAAGATTGTTTATGTTTATTTAAATATTCAAAATGCATTAAAGAGACTTGTGCAAAATTGTTTAGGTTTTTTTTTATTTTTTTTTTTTATTTTTTTTTATAAATATAATTTTGTGATGAGGTGGATTGGTTTTGTTAGTTATTTAAGTGTTTCTGGTTTCCCTCTAGCTATTGTTATTGCCCTTCTCTATGTTGTGAGTTAAGATTGGAGCAATATGCTATGTCTGTAGGGATTTGTGTGTCAATTTTAATATTTGATGTGCATTAAAGATTAAACTGCAGTTGTTATTGATAGGCTGATAGGCCTTAAGCTATTGTCATTGCCAATCTCTGTTGTGACAGTATCAATATGTTCTATTTTAGTCTTTAAAATGCATTAAATAAGATTATTTTATTGGGTTTGCTATTCTTTATTCTGTGTGAAAATTGGGGGAGTTATGCTAGTTCGATTGTTTTTATTGATCATATCCCTTGGGGTTGTTACTTCCATTCTCTATGCTGTTGTGACTGGAGCAAGATGCTCTGTTCAAAGGTTGTTATATGTTAAAGTTGGCCAAAGTTGTGCTCATTGGTTATTTATTTATTCTTCTGTCTTCCAAATGGTCAAATTAAACTTTTGCAGGATATTCCTGTTCAAGTGACATTGCACGCTTTTGTTCCTGACATTTCAAGTGATTCCTCTGGTCAGTAAAAAATACCTTTGCTACTATTTTTATTTACAATCTCTAGAAATTAAAAATTATTGTACCATGACAATCTTACCAGTTTCTTGACTTTCTTCCCTATGTTTGGTTCCCCACTTCTCTCTTTCTCCCCTCCCCCCTCTTCTCTTATATGCATTCTCTCATCTTCCTATTTTTGTGAATGAGGGAGGGAGACTGGTGCTCTGATCTGAAATTTTATGTTTGTTAATTGGATTGCCCCTTTATCTCATCCTGTTCCCTTGTTTCATATCAAACAAATAGGGTTTTAAGTGTTCGTTGTGGATAAGAATTCTGAAGTACTTAACCTTTCTCATATTCTCTGTAGGGCTTTCTAGTTCTGGTGTTGTGGAGAAATTGAAGAATCTCTTACCTGCTCTCGTTAGTTGTTTCCAGGATCCCTTGGTTCATAACATGCCCCAAATGGACACACAGTCCTATGATTGTATGCTACTTATACTTCGAAACATAGATCTTCTAGTCAGATTCTTTATTCTTGAATCTCCTTACCATCACACACATGTTAACATATCTGATCAAAGAATTTCACTGCTGGCACTCAAAAAGCATTGGGATGAGTTTCCTTTCAATCCAACTCATGACCTCTCAAAGAAGGTATGATTTCCTATTGAAAACGAGAACAGTTTCTGTTTGTATTTTATGCTAGAAAAAGGAGATAATACAACAAGAAAATTTTTTGTTAGAAAGGTACTATGAAGTATATATTTAATATTTGAATCATTTACTGATGGACTTGAAATGCAAGAAGTTGCGTATGCAGTTTGTCCAAATCTTGTGGGATTTAAAATGTTTTTTTGGCCTTTCACTTTCATTGTTAAAGTCCCAATTTCAAGTCTTTACATTTGATGTTGCTAGTTTGCTACTTGAACTCGGGTAGCATGAATTCCATAAACTATGAGAAGTTCTTGTTCACTTCCCTTAAACATGTGCTATAGTAAGCCTTTGCAAAAAACATGTTTTCCTTTCTCGTACTTGTGCCAATTGCCAAAACATAAATTTTATTTTTCCATAAAAATTTCAAGCATGCAAGTAAAAGACTTCCTGCCTCAAACCAACCCTTGAATAGTTCTAGGAAATTAAGCAGGAAATTTATCATTAATATATTAGGTTAGGACAAAGATATGACATAACTCCTAACTCCTATGAGATAATGCACTTGATAACTCGTTGTAATCTACTATCAATATGTAAACTTTAGTTGTTTAAGTAGAAAAAAAAACAAAAGACTGGATGAATTGTCGTGGAATCTCTCTCACACTCGGTCACACACACACACACCCATTAAAGGAAAAGAAATAAGAAATACAATCACAAATGATGATAACATTGAACGTGCAGTTGCTTTTGTCTCTCTCCTTGTTCACTTCTCTGGTGCCATTATTTCCTCTGATTTCTTCTACTTTTGGCATTGCAGGAAAATGATCGTTATTTCAAGTTGAATATTGTAATTACAGAAATATTTTTGAAGATAAGTCATTGGGACCACCCTCCCCCTGCATTGATGGAGAAATTCCTTGAGTTCATTGAAATTTCACTTTCTGAAAAGGTTCAGTTATGATTTTTTTTAAATGATTAAACTCATTCGTGTACCAATAGTCATCCTGGATGTTTTATATTCATTATTTATTATTTATATTAAATAAATGGATAGAAAAATATTTGCATCTCATCTCTTATGGTTTGAGAAATGGAAACATATGTTTGAACCATTGGTATCTCATCTGCAGATTCATTTCAAGCTTGAATGCTATCTTTACGTGTTATGCTCTTTAATGATGCATTTCTACAATATCAGAAAGTTTTAAGTTTTCCCTCCTGTGTTTTTATTGGTATTCCTTATATTTTCTTTCACAATTCAATTAGATCTTGAAAACATCCTTGATAAGTTGATATGGAATTTTTGGGTAGTGCTTTATATTGCACATATAGTAACAGCCTGCTCACGTTATGCAGATTTGCCACCACATGGAGTCTAGTAAGGTGATTCATGAAAAGCAATTGCTTGCATTGGTGTCATTCACCCCAGAACTTATTATGCGAGTTTCTGGTTTTTGGAAGTCTCGCATTCTTGAGGTTTTTAGACCAAACTTGTTCTTTTATGCTTAGTTGTCTATCTGTTTCTAAAGAGTGATAAGATCCGAAGATCCTTGTGATAGAGGGATGTGGTAGTACAAATCCTTGGTATATATTGTAAAATGTTGCATTTTATTCATAAAGTTATACTCCGTAATTTGTACTGTCATTGCAGGCTTTTACTAAGGCTTTCAAAAGTTGCAGCCCGGAGTCTTTGATGAAATTAGCTTGCCTTTCTGCAATTGAAGAAATGATGTTCTCTGTAAGATTCCTTGTGGTCTCAGTTGTGTTCTTTGAGTGTTTCTGCAAAAATTGTCTGCCACTGTATAATTTTTAATGTAAACTAAACAATACATAGGGATAGTGATTTGATGCTTTTCATTAAATTATCATATTCTGCAGAAACATGTTGGATAGCAGCAATATGTTCTTTTTTCTTTTTCCCTTTCCTTTTCTTGGAGGTGTGAAACTGTAAAATGACATCATTAATTCTGGAATCTCAAAACACATTTAATAATCAGTTGCTAATAATGTTTTAAGCGTGAATCTAATCTCAACTTCCCTGTACAAATTTTAGGAACATGATTGGCTTTACCTGGATACAAGTGATCCAGAACTGCTACATTATCAGATTACTTGGATAAGGGAGCTTCCTTCTCTGCTAATTGTTTTAGGTGATAAACATCCACTCTCTTCTAAGGTACATATTTGCCTTGCTCCCATTAACTCTGGAGGCTTGTCTAAATTAAAGAGGGACAAGCAGTCTACGTGTCACCATCTTTAGCTTCAATTGTCATCTTTTTTCTCCTTAATAGTATGGTTTGCTTTATCCAGACTGTGTTGCGTCTTCAACTTCGCATAGGACAAACGGCTGAGTTTGACTCCCCATTTGCAAAGGAATATGATGAGATGCAGTACATACTACGAGGTTTTTATAGCACAACTTGCAATGAAGGTTAGGACAGCTCCTCATTCTGATTCCAACCTGAGTATTCTTTGTTTCCCGATTCATTCATATCTATTGCTTCCAATTAACAGTATTTCGTTGACCTTAGGAGGCGTAAGCTATGGCCCTTTCATGACGCTTTCTAGAGATATTCAAGAACTTTCCCTCTGCTGCCTATATTACTTCTCTATCTTGGACTCAACAATACTTCAGTCATTGGTTTCATGTTGCCTGTGTAAGTAGTCCCCATCTGTATGCCACAATTTTCATTTATGGAACTTCTCAGTTCTCATTATTACACTACTACCATTATTTATTAATGGCATGGTATAAAATGTTAGCCGTCCATAATGTTGGAGTAAAATATCTTATTTAATCTTCACCTGGTTTAATTAAGGGGAATCTGAAAAAAGGCAACCAATGTACATAGAAGAAAGTTGTTTCTTTAAAAACTTGTTTATTTATTTATAATTCATTTTCAACATGTAGTTAACAAGTATGGAAGATAAGACCAACCATGAGCTAGAACTACAAATAGTTAGTTAATATTGTATAACATTCTGCTTTTCTTCTCACATCATTGCAGCTCATGAACTTGAACCATGTTTAGTTCTTCGTATTTTAGAAGTTCTGCACACAGCCTATAAAGCAGGACACATCCAGATTGCAGATTACATTAGTTTTCTGATCACTTTGGTTTCACGTCTCCATGCTTATCCTGGTAATTTCTTAATTGTGTTATCCAAGTTTGGATATTAAATTTATCTTTAACACCAAATCAGCGATTTTGCTAATGGTTAAACCTATCAATTGGATCCTTTGCAGATAATCATGAGGGGAAATCAATCCGTGTATCCTTTCGGTCGCTTACTAGTGCAGTTTGTTCTTGTTTGTCACAGATTGGTGATAACTGTTTTATTTTCCAGATGGTGGAAAGAGTAATTACTGATCAGATTGTGAGTTGAGATTAACCGTGGTCTGCTTAAATTCTATACTAAATTATATTATTCCCCAACTTACCTTTTAATTTTTCGTGCACTTTGGGGAACTTTTTCTTGTCATTCCATTAGAATATAAGTGTTTTGTAAGTGTGTTTATTCAGATTCATGATATTTTCTATAACATTTTACTAGAGATAACATCTTGTTATTTGTTTCAGTTTCTTAGCCCACTAGTAGATAACATGAATGCTCTTCTAAGGATACTTACTGCAATAGACACCGCACCAACAAAACTTTCAGAACCGAGCATCGACAAACTCAGCCGTGTCCTTCCAAAATATTTACTAGATGTTGCATCTGTAAGTATTAAATATTATTTACTTCCTTCAATTCTCTTTTCACCTGTCTTGGCCACACATATATGACACTAAATAATTGCATTTGATGTTCTTTGTATTGCATTCCTTGCAGTCTAGTATTTCCTAGCTAGATAAAGCCTTTCCATTAACCCGCTTTTAAATTAGCTAGCTAATGATATGAGTTAATACCCAATTTAGTCCTCAACTATAAGGGGTTTTTCTCGATTTAGTCTTAAACGTCTTTTTGTGCTTAATAAGGTCCTCGACTTTGATGGTTTTACACCAATTGAGTCCTTGGCTGTTAGAATCAAGGACTAAATCGAGAAAAATCACTATAGTCGATGACCAAATTGGGTAAAACCACTATATAGTCGAAGACTAACTTGGGTAAAACTACTAAAGTCGAGGACTAAATTGGGCATTAATAGAGGTGAAATTACCAAACTATTTTAACATAGGACTCAATTGGGTAAACCCATCAAAGTTGATGACCTAATTAAGCAACAAAAAAAGATGTTTATGACTAAATCGAGAAAAACTATAGTCGATGACTAAATTGGGTATTAGCTCGTATTAATAGTAATTTGTGCCAAGCATCTTGTGCTCAATTGGAACATTTGTCCCTCTCCTCGAGGGAAGGTCACAAGATCGAACTCCGGTGGTGGGGTATTGACTCTTTGAACTGCAACAGATAGAAAAAGTATAGAACATATACTACCTTGTAATAGAGTCAATAGTACTCAAAAAAAAAAATATTTGTATTCGAAGTAATCAATAATACATACTGAAATTGTAAAGTCTAACTGCTAGAGTAAAATCTTACTATTGATGTAGGATCTTCCTGGAGAAGTTAATGAGCAGAATTCCAGCTTGAGTTTAAAGAGAAGTCAGTATTATCTTCTTCCTTGCTTCTTCCTATTTCAAAGGAGCAACAGGCTATTAAGTAAAGTGTTGAAAGAGATGGGATCAGTATTGGCTGAAAATCATTCGCCCCCGTTGTCTTACCATCACGAATTTCCACAAATCAACCACAAGAGCACTCTCGTGGCAAGCGTGTCCGTTCTCCTGCTTTTGCACAGCGATATTAAAATGAGGCGAGTTTTCTCGTCATGCAAGCCGGAAATCAACAGTATTCTAGAATACATGGTCGCTCTTCTGGTATGCCTAGCCGCCTTGCACAAAAGCTTGTTGATCTTACTCTGTTTTGTGATATGCCATTTTATTAGTAGTCTAAATCAGTTAGATGCCAACAGATTTATTTCTTGTTTTGTTTGCAGGCTTCAGAGGGCAATAACATGACTATAGACGAAAGGCATGAGGTACAAAGAGCTTGTGATAGGCTTACAACTGCGACTACTACTCTTCTAGCTTAGTATTTGGCTTAATTACACTAAATGGATATTTCATTTCTTATGTAGTATATTATTCTTTTTTTTTTTTCAGTTTTATTTAAAATAGTCTATAATTTAATTAAATAGAAAAATATGATTTTGGTTTTTTTTTTTTTAATTTAAAAAAATTAAAATTAGGGTAACGGTTATGAAATGTTAATTTGAATTTTTGTTTGAGAGGAAATATTTTTGAGATGTGAAAATGCTTACCTTTGAGAATTGGGAGTTCCATGTGCATCATTGTATAACCTCCACTGAAGTGTGGTTGCGGACTTGCGGCAAAGGTGTCTTCATCCTTTTGGGAAAATATATTCTCATATCATCATGGGTTGAAAGATGTGTTTTATCATAGATAAGTGTTGACGTTAGGCTATGAGTAACGTGAAAATGTAATTGGGCCACTTAACTAAAAAAAAAAAAAATACAATTAGATAATCTAACATTGTAAAGTCATGTCTTTTGTCCCAAGTGATTTGCAACGGTAGGTTACTAATAAGTAATTAATTAAAAATTTTAAAAAGAAATTAAAAATTATTTTAAAACAAAAAAAAATATGGGGTCTACGACCAGTTGGAGACGACTAGATCCATGGAGACTGTCATGTCTCCATGGATCTGGAAGCGAAAGAGGGGACAACAGTGGTGAGGTTAGGCTTCTCGGTTCCCCTCTCGGCGGACGCGGACGGCGTTATGATCAAGAATAGTGGCAGCGACGGAACTTTGAGAAACACGACGACGAAGTTTTGGGTGTTTTGCAAATCGTCGATTGATGTTGCGATGGCGAGGTGAATGGTGACGGTGTCAGCAGTAGGATGTTTGGTCATGGCGGTGGTGCTACTCCGATCTCCGGCTCGGCTCGAGGGTGGTAGTGCTGATGGCGAAGCACAGTTCCGTCGAAACATGACGACGAAGCTTTGGGTGTTCTGCAAATCGTCGATTGGTGTTGTGACGGCGAGGTGAATGGCGACGGTGTCGGCAGTAGGATGTCCGGTCATGGCGGTGGTGCTACTTCGATCTTTGGCTCGGCTCGGGGGTGGTAGTGCTGATGGCGGTGTTTTGGGTGGGAGAGAAGGTGAAGAGTTCGATGGTGGCAAAACAGTGGTGCTTCCGGCCGGTGACCTCTCTCTCTCTCTCATTGTTGGCGTTGCGTCCATGGCTGTCTTCAGTCTCCAGATTCATGGTGATGATCGGAGACCTTTTTTTAATTTTTAACTAATCACCTGTTGGTAACTTGCGTCTTCAGTCTCCAGATTCATGGTGATGATCGGAGACCTTTTTTTAATTTTTAACTAATCACATGTTGGTAACTTGCCACTGCAGGTCACTTGGGACAAATTACTTTTATTTGAGTAATTGACAATTTTTTTATTAGTTGAGTGGTCCAATTGCATTTTCACGTTACGCTCGATGGCTAATTTGACCTCTATTCCTTTTTTATTTTTCTTTTTTTTGGTGTACCTAGGATTTCCTCCGAACATAATGACTAATCCCCTCCCTGAATTGTAGACATCTTTTTTTGGGTGGGACAGCTGGCTTGGAGATTTAAGGTTGCTCCATACCCAAAGCCAAGGATCGAACTCTTAACATTTGGTTAAGGATGAATGGATCCCATTCCACTCAATCCCACCCTCCATAGGCTATGAGTCTCATTCTACTCCTTTGATGTAGGGTTTTGAAATTAATTATAATAATTTTGGTTAATTGATTTAATTCAGTTAATTTAATCTGTAATAGCTACATCGATTTCGTTAGCAATTTTAAGTTGAAGTTTTAAAAAAGACTCAGTTATCAGTTAGTTTTATTAAGAAATCATAGAAAAAAGTAGCGATCAATAAGAAGAGGAATACAGAGAATGGAGAGGGAAGACTGATCTTTCATTCATCCACATTACAAAAGAAGGGATACAACATATATATAATATATTAGTATTAATAACAGTAATAATGCTGGCTGTTACAAACGTTATAACCATTACAATAATGTTCACACTTAATATCATTTATAACACTCCCCATTGGACATTATTTGGCCACGACTTTGCCTCGTTAAAAACTTGTTAGGAAAACCCGGTGGGAAAAACCTAGACAAGAAAAGAGTACAATAGAAAATATATTCATGCCTCATTAAAAAGTTCACTAGGAAAACCACGTGGGAAAAACCTAGTTGAAGAAAAGAGTACATGATTGATCATGTAAATACCACGTGTGTGCGGTAACTATCAATAAAGTCCAGATCAATTAAAGCAAGTAAAAGGTCTTTTATTAATCCGGTAAAGGTCCTAAGTACAATCTACTTGGTCGCACCGAGTACCGACTGGATGCGGTCGGGATTCTCTGCATACAACCTATCGATCGTCCAAAAGTCCTTTACACTGTTGCTTTGGTGGGTATTTATAGCCGCGGAGCCTAAGACAAGAATCCGGCTGGTCGGCATGACTCCCACGTAGCAACCACGTGTCATCCTCCCGGGTGCCCTTTCTGTCGCTATCTAGTGCCGCCACGTGTCTTTAGTCAGCACTCTCGCTTAAGGGCTACCGCTCGGTGGTTGACACCCCGGTCGGGCAGTAACCGGTCGGGTACCGACCGGGTCCTTCTATGAAAATCCGACCTGCACCCTGCAAAACAAGTAAGAAAAAGAACGAAGGCATGTCGGTCGGGGTATTCCCTACCAATGACATATGTAAAAACATCTATTCTATTTGGTCGCCTCATTAAAAACCTTAACTTAGGAAAACCCTGTAGGAAAAACTTAGTTAAGGGAAAAAGAGTACAACCATAAGCCTTCAGGGCGCAAACTGCATAATCTTCAGGATTTGGGGTTTGTCCATTTAAGCAATTATTTTGTAACTTTTCCCCATTGTCATTACTATATCATACTCATGCCTCGTTAAAAACCACACTAGAAAACCCAATGGGAGAAAACTAGTCAGGAAAAGAGTACATGATATTTATGTATTTATGTGTTGCAAATAGTGCGCAACTGTTAGTCTTTTATGACTTAATTTTCAGGATTTTATGTTCAATCTTCCGGATTGATTCGAGTAAATGTACTTCCCGTCTCCCCCTGAAGATAACAATCTTCAAGTTCTACATATATTTCAAAATTTGAAGAGATGGATTAGACAAATCTTCTGGATTGTCACTAGAGTAGTGTACAATAATCTTATGGCTCTTCTAGAGCTTATATAACATTTGTGCAACACAGGTTTTATTGTCCTCATTTTGAACATTTAGGGAAATTCATTGTATAACCAGTTTGGACTCGGCATTGCGGGGATCAAACAAAACAGTCAGTACCCAAGTAGCCTATTAAAACCGTATCATGGTTTCTTACATAAATGTCATGTCTTTGTATCTCGAAGATACTGGAGGATATGTTAATCATTATTCAAGTACTTCATTTGTAGGGGGAGCACTAGATTTTGCTAGCAATTTCATCGCAAATATGTTGCGATTATGGAACTTCTGGTTCTATAATGGTGCTCCAACAATAATGAAGTAAGGGACTTCGAGTCCAAAAAGGTTCCTTATCTGCTTCAGGAGATTATTAGGCAACCTTTAGTTTGATAAAAACATGACACTTATATGCATATAGACATGTGAAAAAGCATTTTTAGATGTAGGCTGACTGGTGTATATATAAAAAAATCTTCAAAGAAAAACTCGATCTTCAAGTCGAGATAATACTTATAGATTTCACAAGCTTTTTATTTCAAAAGTCTCAGTCTTTAAACATGAACTGACATTATCGAGCTCTTTATATATTTCATTGATGTTTACAATATCAATCTTGACTGAGATAATAAGTTCATTATCAACCCTTTGTCGAGCACACAATGGTACATATTATTCCTTCAATGAGGATATTAACTCCATTCGCAACCCTTTAAAGAGTAAATAATGACACATAATAATACTTAAATAAATCCTCATTTCGAGAATTATGAATCCATCAGGGATTTCTCAAGATAAATTTAACTGCATATCTAAATTTAGTATTCTGCCAATTGTATTGTGTAGCGGAACTTAATACCATTTACCGTGGGAGAGTATATTTGATTAAAATCAATTAAGGATCTCTGCGTGAACCCATAGGCTACAAACTCGCTTCATCACCTCATTATTCTTATTTCTCTTTCATGCACACACCTATTTGTAACCTTCAGGGTTAACGCTCAAATGGTGTATTGTTATAAAGAGAATTATCCATTTTAGCGTGTCGAGCTATGCCTTAATTGCTCCTTTCTATGTTAAATAGTCATGACACTTCTGGTGCCTAACTCTGGATCCGGATTATCATATGACGAGCAATTTGTAATGGCAATTGTGTTGTCGACAACTATAACCTTTTTTTTTTTTTTTGTAAAACTCCCATATTTGCAAAAGTAATGGCAATTTCTAAAGCAACCAGATTCTAGACATTTCCCAAAGATATTTTGATCTGGTCGTTCCGCATCCCTAGTATTACGTTTGTTTGGTGCACCTATAAAATTTACTAGGGTTTTTCGTCATCTGGACGAACGTCTGCAGGACATAATTGTTCAAGCTATTTCAAGAGTGACAATATTTCTTTACTAGATCTAGTATTATGATCCATATCTCTTTCACCGATAGATCTCCTACACTTCTAGTGTCAAGGAGTATCGATAGATATGTTTGGTCTAAGGATATAGGACCTAGTCACTTCTTTTATGATTATTATGATCAATAGATGTATTTGGCAGATTATTTGCTAAAATTGCAAATAGATTATCTTTTGAACTTCCAGTTTAGTCTAATTAGTACATGGATTTAAATAATGAAGATGTTTTTATTCTTATGAAATTTCTTGGCATTCCAAAAAGCTACGGAGTAGTATATTATCTCCCCCTAATGCCGAGAAACAATCTTCATTAGGAATGCAGTCAACGTACCCAATTATATGTATTGATCCCCTATCATGGGCTTTCGATATTTAATCAATAGACGGGGGTTTCTTTGATAGCCCTTTTCAGAGGTACGTTGTGGTGGTGATATAAAATAGACTGCGTAAATAAAATAACGCAGATAGGGAAATGTTACTTCTG